GAGAAAACCAGGAGGTATTTCTAAAAGGGACTAAAATCAGAGTGCAGCCCAGATATCCAAGTCTGACCAACACAAAACACAGTTCTTCACACTACTGCCACACTCTCTCTGCCTCGCCACCTTACTACAATAAATGGACGACTTGAAACTCTAAAGAGACAATGCAGATCAGTATCGTCTTTGTATAGCAAATTTAAGACTATATGCTATTTCAAAAGAAGTTCCTCATGTCAACACTCACAAAGAATTCTCTTTCCTGTAAAGGTAATTCCTCTGCATGCATGTGTAATTGCATCTGTCTGTACCAATACATACGTATTTAAATGTTAAGAAGGAGAAAAAGTAGTAGCAGGGAACTAAAGAGTGGAAGAGTACAGGGCTTTGCAATAATTTCTGTGCAGTCTTACCTCCGTAACTTTGCACAAGGAACTACAAGACTGTAGCTTTACTTTCAATTTGCGACTATGTCTTGTATAATCACCTACACAATTTTATGCTACAAGTCAATTTGCATGGTTCCCAAGGAGATAAGTTTTTTAAAATCTTCTCTGGAATCCACTGATAAAAAATGGAGGAAACTAGTATAATAGATATCATGATGAATTAGTCCCCATAGAAAAGTTTTCTTTTACTGAGCCCATCAGGAAAGCCAAGGTAATCACCAAACATTTCGTATTTGCTTTTCTTTAATACTATCTCCAAATCCATAATTTTACTGTGCCTCAGCAGAGCATTTGCGATTCTCTATCTTTTTCTTTCACAGAACACTGAACAAGCATAAAGGATTTGGGAACATCAGGGTACATGTAAGCAAGAATAATATAGGATACATTTTCTGTTTATGCAGGTATACTTACTAGGTAAAGAACCCATTTAAAATATTAGGTGACATACTTTATGAATTTTACCCACAATCAAAAGTGGCATTTTTACAGCAACTACTATACATGATAAATATCAAATAAGCTTTGAATGGAGAATTAAAACCTCTGTGTTTGAGGAATGGGAGGGAAGGAGAAGGACAAGACAATGACATCTTAAAAAAATTAACTAAAAAGGCAAGGTGATGGAGACTTCACTTGCCTTTCTGCTTGAGTTAAGGGGTATTGAAAAAGGTCATAATTAAACTGCAAGTAGATAGTATTTTCACAACACTATTTTTCTGATCTGAGATTGAAAAAAGAGAAATAGACCTATTTTCTATCTACAAAGTACATTAAATTATGTACTAAATATACTATTGTATTGATCTGAAACTCTCATGCTATTACTGCTAATTTTTCAGCTGCATCTTAGATAAGCATCTCTCCAAAATAATACATGACATTTTCCTATTTTCCAACACTGTATTAACCATTAAAAATGCACTGAATAATGCTTGCACGGGCATCTTTCTTCTCCCAAGTGAAGACAACATAAACCAAGACAGATGTAGTATTGCATACGGTGACTGTAGAAGTACCTTCCACGGAAAACCCTTCAGACCCCTTGGGGTGACATGAAAGATGCAGACAGCAGGTGAGGTGAAAGTGAACAGTAAGTGAGTAAGGTTGGGAAGATCATTTAGGCATTATAGATCTTACAGTGATTCTTGTAAGCAGAGTAAGATTTACCAGGATATTTAAAAGGACACTGGAGAAATGTGAGCTTAATGCAGAAGAGGAATGCCTATGTGATGATTTGAAAAGTGGGAAGCACTCAGCTTAGCAGAAAACAAACATGGTTTCCCAAGGGATTTTTCTTCCGCCTTTACAAATATCAGCTTCAATGAATACTGATGAAGGTCTCAAGAACTAACCTACATCAGCTTTAAGGTACGTAAAAACGGTGAATTTGGATTTGCAAGTGCTCCAATTTCTAGAGAAATGCAAAGGAACCTAGTAACATACATACACAAACCAGATTCTGTTCTTTTTGATACACTGGTTCCGGTGAGAAATACCGCAATCATAAAAAACAAGATCTGGTCTCCTAAGTCGATAGAATGTTTTCCATCTATCTTATGAACTACAAGAAAGAATTCATTCTCTTCTAATGGATACTGATTTCCACCTTCTGCCTGTAAAATCCAATAGACAATCATAATTACTATAAATACTTTTAGTGAAAGTTTAGAATTTCTTTTAATGGGCCATTTTTACTTATTTCCCTATACAGATAATTTAATCTAAGTCATTCTTCTCAAAAAAATCTCGATTTATGCATTTAATAACCTCTTGGACTTCCAAGGAAAGCCAGATTCAGGACCAAATAGCTGGTGTGTCAAGCTAAAAATGATAACCTGAGCTCTGTGTGCATTAGCTGTGTGCCTTGAGATTCGATTCTATAGCATCTAATAACGTTTGAGGTCCATTTCTGTGTGTATTCTCCACTTCTCCCCCCCTGTGTATTCTTAGCCACCTGCAGCCAACAGGGGACTGAAAGTGGCCCTTTCTTCAATACGGAGATGTGCTTTCTTGAAACACATGAGAACCTCAGTGCTTCTCAGCCTGTTATTCCTCTGTCAAATTCGTTTGAAATAGGGCATGGTGTTAAAAAATACTGTAGGACACGCTGTCAAAAGAAGGTCTACCTTTAGCAAACCAGGATATAATACCGCCTTTAGCATTAACAAGAGAAGCAAAAGACAGTCTTTGTTTTCTATCACTTAAAAAGACTGATTTTAAGTAGTGGTATTCAGATAGGAAAAACTCCATGTTCATTGAAATGACTGTAAATTTTAAATGCTGTTCTTCAGACACTATTAAACATGTGGAAACTAGGATCCATCATGTTCACAAAGATATCTTTAAGAGAGTTAAAAGTTCAATTACAGTGTTTACACTTTTTCAAGAACACTAACATTATTTTGTTCTTTACATGCTATCATATTTTTACATTTATTAAATAAGCATTTCAGTTAATTTTAGAGCACTATCGCAGGCTCTCACTTTCTTTAAAGCATTATCTTTACACGAAAGCCAACTTCATCTTGCCAGTATATGAAATTAAATACACATCCTCAATGTTTCTTTTTTATTTTAGTTGCTGTTTCCCCAAGCATGTTCTAAAGTATTTCCAAATAAGTTTAAAGACATCCAATTTGGTTTTATTCCAGTAAATTGCTTTCTCAAGTGGCACTGAATTTTTAAGGTGTGATATCCAGTTATTAATTGCAGAAAATACTTAGAATTCCCCAGTATGTAAGAGTTTCTTCTAGCAACAACTAGAAGCACCAGATATAAGGATCTAGAATAACACTTTCAGTAAGATATAAAAATATAATTGAAGAAAGATAAGAAATACAAGGAATAGTTTTACATGAACATGTATGATATTTATCTGTTATTGTTCAAGTATAACTGAAAAATTTAGGTTGAGGTGTCCTTTCTTGACTAGCATTCACAAGTAGTTTGCAACAACATTCAAAAGTAACTCAACCACTCAAACACAGCTTCCTACTACAGGTAAACTTTTAACAAGGCAAACATTAACATGAAGATGCTTACTTTAGACTTGCCCCTCTGTAGGCTGTCATGCATGTAAGTCTTGTGATGATGCAGCTAGATTACATTTTGATCATTATTCCATCTGATTCACTGAAAATCTTGCTGAGTGTGGAAGTGTCTTCCTCCTCCTCCAGACTGTTTTGGGTTTTTTTTAACGAAAGAAACCCAAAACCCACACACCATTCTTGCACCTAGTGTTCTTCAGATAAGCCCAATAACCCACTAATACTTTGGGTGGATTTTCTACAGCCTCCTCGCAGTAGCAGCACAGAGCCACCAGTTGCAAGCTTTCTTTCCTGGCTGGACCAATATGACAATACGATAGAGGAGAGAGTCATTTAAAATATTACCTTACAAATGTAGGTTAGGGGTTAGCCAGACAGAAAACCAGAACTGAGCATCTGAAAGACTAAGCAGAAGCCTGCGCAGCTAGGCCAAAACTCAAAGCAGTACGGTTGACATTTATTACAAACTATGGGCAGCCACCTAAACAAAATAGCTGGGACCTTTGCATTGTAGTTAGTAAATGTCTAAATATCATTTCCATTTTCACAGCCAACATTCATCTTACACCCATATCAGCATGTTCTAATTTGTGCCACTGCTTTCCTTGGCTCTGATTTTGTGTACTGTTTATATGGTGTACTACTCTATTTCTTCATAACGCAGATTTTTTTTTTTTTTAAAAGTCAGTCAATTATCAAACTCTTAATCTGCACGAGGAGAATTAAATTGCCCAAGATTTTGGATTTTCAAAACGTAACTACATTGGATTATGTTTTTTGGATGCAACAAGAAATTAAGCTTCTACTGCTAAGTATAGGAATATTGTTTTTTTTTAGGGAGATACCTTCAGAAGTAATCTATTAGCAGTCTGACTGCAGAAAGAACAGCATCAAGATACATAAATTTTATCTGAATGACAAAAGTATTGATTATTTAAAAATCAATTTAAAAATATATTCATACCTAGACAATGTGTCAGAATTGTCTGAACTTTGCTACTAGCTGTAACATTTTTTTGAAATATTTTAAAGTTTATTCTTCCTCAGCTGCAGCTAGCAAGCCCTCAAATGTCATTGCTTACAGGCTATTCACATGCTCAAGCTAATCTAAATTTAAACTCTTCTGATTTTTGACCCAAGGGAATAAACTGCAATCAAATGTAAATTGCAAAAATATTCAGCATTATAATTCAGTTTCCTGGAATCTGAGTTTATAGCCATCTCTGTTTCCCATTTTTATATCTAATAACCAAATCCCACCCTTCTTACATAAAAGATGAATCTCATAATCTGTAAACAGTTCTACCCAGGTGTTTTACTATATTTACGCTCCCATTAGATTTTATGATAATTTTTTCCACTTTTGCATTCTTGAGAATGTCCCCCTGACTGCTGCCAGTAGTTTTTCAGAAATTTACTTAAAGCAAATGCTTCTCAATGACCTGTTGAAAAATAAAACTTCACATGTATATAACAATAAAATTAATGTACTGCTAATTGTTCCTACCAGCTCACTGCTAAGTCGTGCACTTCTAAAACATTGGTCAGTTTACACTCTCCAGATTTCAGGGGCTGAGTATACTCTTTAGCACACACAAGGTATGGGTTCACTTCAGTATCAACAGTGAACGCTGAATCCTGGAAAAAAATAAATTATTAAGTCTCAGAAATGCTGTACAAGCTCATACAATGTACTATGATTATGTTACTATTTTGAAAATACAATTTTGTCTTATTTACCCACTCTATTTTTCTCCTCTGCTCAATTTTCATCAATTTTTTCAGTCACTGTTGCCCTGATTTTGTTGATTTTGATACATATTGTTAAAGCTGAGTGCAGGCATAACTGGAAGACTGGCGTCTGTAGTGAACAACTGAATACTATGAGACTTATTACTTCTTTCTTTTAGAATTATATTCCTACAAGTTCACTTCTGGACAGTTGTATCAATATAGCATTGCTCTAGAAAGAGACCAGCCATCAGTACTAATCATCATCTGCAACCCTCTATAAATTCACCTTTCATACCAGCAAAACCCCTTCTTCCCTCAAAACAGAAAATACCCCACTTTTGTAGTTCAACATAACAGCAATGGGAAAGAAGCAACTCAATACTGTGGACAGATATAGTATAAAAATATATATATTTTAGTATATAGTATATATAGTATAGAAAGATATAGTAAAAAAAGGCAAATAAAATTTTGTTTTCATTTATACTCATAACAAAGTTTGTGTAACAATATGGGCACAACAAAAACGTGGCCTGATACTTCTACTGTTAATGTCATTTACATACCTGCTACTGGAAGAACATATAATGTTTAAAAAGCAAGGCTGTTAAATGGTTAGTATAATATCTCCTATATTAAATTCAGGACAATCTCTGGTTTTAGTAAGTATTCTGTAGAAGACAGTCAAAAGTTAAAGTTCAGGTAAATGAATTATTTTTCCACAAACAGAAAACAAATGTTTTCTAATCATTTATCAGTAACTTTAAAACTACCACATTAAGATACAGTGATCTACCCTGCACTGGACGGTCTCACTACTAAAAGAAGTTAACTTCTAGAAACCTTTCCATTTCATCAACTGGCAGCCAGAAAGCTCCTTCATTTTGGAATGGAAGAAGTACTCACATTGGCCAAATCACTCCATTTATATTTTATTTCCTTCTCTTCATTTTTCTTCTGCATGACTCCCATACTGGAGATGAAAAGAATAAAGTTTAGTGCTACTACCAAGCTTGGCGCAGCATGGTTTGCGGTGTAATCACTGATTTATCAGCTAAATGAAACAATTTCCGCTATGATTTTAAATGGAAAAATCATACAAACACAAACAGAGGAGGGCTGTATATGCACATACAAACAATACAACGAAAAGGAGAGCAGCTACAGGTAAACAACCTTCTTTTTTCCCTTTGACTTCATGTGTATATGTAGATCTAGACTGAGAGTAACTCCAGGTAGTGTCTCCCAAAGATCAACATTGCTTAGATAAGAAGATCCTTTTCTCTACTTCAGTAAAGACTGGAGGACCAGTTTCACCTATGCCACATCATCCCCAACAAAATTCACCAACACAGTAACACTTGTTGAAGAGGGAACTGGAACTCCAGGCTGCAGTTCACAGAAGACGTTTTCCAAGTCAGCTGCTGATGCTGTTCAACAGCATTGACTACATCAGCAGGCACTTACAGATTTGCAGCTTTTTAACAGCCTCTCCAAAGCAGCAACCCAGGGAGACAGCATCTGCCTTGAATTTGCACCTGGGTAAAAATCAGTTACAGACCTGATGCAAAGTCCTTTCTTCAAGGCTCTTGTCTGCTTATCATAAAGGACAAAAACAGACCTAATATTCAGGAGGGCTCAGTCCTAGAAGTCTGTGGCTTCAAGAACAAACAGGAAAGCTAATTCTGTAATTCAGATGAAACTAATTATACATTAGACATGAATTAAGAATTAATTCTGAAGATAACTTTATCCACATGGAACAGGACATCTTAAGACTATGCTATACCGACTTCTCTCATTTGGTAGAAGCAACAATCATCAAGAAAAACATCCTCATCATCAGATAATGGAAGGCAAAAACAGATGTTGATTGAAATGGATTGCTCAAAGATTCATGTATAAAATGCTTAAGACCCACTGCAGGAAAGGATTCCCAGAAAGGTCCAATTCTTTCAGATACATATACTGAGCAGACATGAGAATACAAAAATACTGAACACCAACAGAATAGTAAGATGACCTGAGCTGACAGACTAGTTTTCTTCAGCCTCAGCAGTCAAACTAGAGGGAGAACCACCACAGAATTATTGCTGGACTGTACCAGCTTAGGAGCAGAAAATCTGGTTCCCTGGACACAGTAGAGCTGTTCTTGCTATTAATCAAGAACCTTAGTGTAGACTTGATATTCAGCATGCATGCTATCAGATAGAGGATGCTGAGGTTTCCACAATAAACCTTCTCAAACTGACCTTGAATCAGACATGAACAGACTTGAGTTTTCAAGTTCTTCACCAAAAAACACACAGATTTCCTGGAGCAAGGACTGGCTTTGCCAGGTGAGGAGCAGAAGGGATTACAGCATGAGGAGAATTCAGGATAGAAGGAACCACCCACATCAGCCTTCCCAAACAGGGAACTAGGAAATTATTCAGCTCCGGCCCCAGAAAGAAACTAGCCCCAAATTATAGAGAACAGCCCTTCATAGTGACATTCAAGTCAAAGAAAAAGACTACAGAGTACTTTCAAATGGATATTTGGACATCATAATCTGCATTTGCTATCAGCTCAAAATAAGTGTCCAAGATTTTAGGCAGTAAATGGCATACAATGGTATACAAAACTCATAACATGACTTCAAAAAGATCAGCTCCACTGAAGAGAGTTGATATTACTTCTTGATACAGAATAGAGGTATTTACTTTGTCAGTATCTGCATGTGAGGGTATTAACTACATTTGAGCATCAAGTTATTATTAATGGTTAACCATGTGCTTTAAAATAACAAATGGATTCTGCAGACCAAAAGAAAAACCTGTTATTATGGAACTGGGTGCTAGAGCTAAACTAGCAGAATTACATGCATGTATTTTTAGTACTGGACACAGAGTAAGCCTCTGACCTATCACAGGCCACTGTACAGTCTGATCAGAAGCAGATCATATTCTGAGGTCACAACTCTACAGTCCACTTGGTCTCACCTATGCACAGTTGACATGTCCCAAAAAGGCAATTATACAATTATACAATTATGATCAAGTAGTTTAAAGCTGAGAATATCTGAGTGTGTGCTGGCTTTACAGTCTGCTTCAGTGATAATTCTTAGAAAAGTGAAAACTCTCTTGTAAGTTCCAAGAGTGAATTACATTTGCTTAGTACAATGTATTAGAATGTACCAGTTTAGGCAGCATTAACAATGACAGACTTTGACCTGAGACTTCAGAAGCTGAGGACAAGGACAAGAAAGCTTCCAGGTACATCAGGCAGCGGAGAGAAGCTGTATCACAACATCGGGCTCAACTGTAGAGAAAGAAACTTCAACGGTGGCAAGGCCTCAAGGGAAAAGCTGGCTAGAGTAAATGGTATACTACTGACAAAAACCACTGGACTAGAACTGGGAACGAAGGTTTCTAACAGCCTTCTTCTGTGTGATTACTGGCATGGGCTATTTTCCATTTTTCAATGGCCTTTTTTCTTCCGACCACTGTTCTCCATGAAGGTGAGCTCTATGACTTACACCGACAGGCAAATTTTTTGTATTTTTTAAAAGACTTTTCTTACAAGTATAACGATGATAAAAAGCCAAAATACGTATATACATATAGTTAATCTTGCAGCCTCATTTTCAATTAGTGTGGTCTAAAATATTTTCTAAGATTAGTCAGCAGACCAGGAGATTTATTGCTAACTCTAATTAACCAGCTAAATGGCTTTATTAAAAATAGATTGTCATTAAAAAATGTAAGGAGGGTAACTGCACAATATATTTTAAGGACTACAGTCGTCATTACAAAACCGCTTACAAAGACTATACAGTTTTCTGAAGACTTAGCTGATCATTCATGTTTGCAACATTTTCAGGACATCCTGCTGTGAGAAGCTTTAAAGGAAAGACTTCAATTACCACATTCTTTAAAATGCCCATCAGCCACTAAGATTAAGAATGGAATAAAATCAATGTATTTTAATCGGGAAATGTACACACACAGCACAGATAACCATTAACTTTTTTTTTAGAATTTATTTGCACTTAATGGTAGCCATTCTGTTAATTCGTAGGAATGAGCATACAGCAAGTTGCAGAACTACAGACTATCAAAAGCATATCATTGTCTCCCATTTGAGAAGCTCTCTATACCGCATGTTCTATAAGGCTGCTATTAACCTGAGTCAAACTTTTTAAATGATTACAAAAATAATTAAGCTAATGACTTAATGATCAGTGCATCTATTACAGACCCAAGACTTAGAAGATATTTTTCTGTGAACTGTGACTTCAATCACATACGTAGCCTAACAAAACCACTCCAAAATCTAGTTTTTCCTTTATTTATTTTTTATACTTGATTATAAAGAAAGAATGGATCTGACAGAAGCTGTACATGTTCACTGCTAAGTTTTGTTCCATCTAAACCACATTTATGTTTCCTCTTTGAAGCTAAAAAGCTACATAGAGAGTTCTGTTTGCACAAAAACTTCTCAATATTATTATCCTATGCAATTATTTCACAAACTTCTATAGATATGCACCACTTTAGCTTCAAACTGCCTCAACGATGCTCAGAAATCACAACTCACACTCAGAAACACTGGAACAGGTTGCCCGGAGAAGCGGTGGATCCCCCCTCCCTGGAAGTGTTCAAGGCCAGGTTGGATGGAGCTCTGAGCAACCTGGTCTAGTGGAAGATGTCCCTGCTCATGGCAGGGGGGTTGGAACCAGATGATCTTTAAGGTCGCTTCCAACCCTTACCATTCTATGATTCTATGATTCCCAGAACACTGGACTCAATTTCCATAGAATAGTAGGGACTTAGAATGGTGACAGGACATCCATCTTCTCTTTCTTTGCTGACTGGAAAGGAAGACAGAACGTGGGAATCATGAAGAGCAGATGATCAAAATCA